AAACTGTTTTAAAAGACTATCAATACCTGAACCTCTCATTTCTGACATTTGCATCTAAGTAAACAGTGTCCAGGAGGCCTCTGCGGCTGCAGAGAAGCCGCCTCTGCGCCTACCGTCTCAACAGCTCCTGAGGCGACAGGTCGGGGGCCCCCTCTCCGTCACTCTGGCTGTCGAGGCTGTCGGTACTCTCAGAACTACTGCTCTTCTCTGATTTTTTAGTCCTTTGTTTTCCTTTATGTTTGTGCTTCCTGTGTTTCTTTTTCTGGAAAAAGAAAAGGGGGTATGCGAGGAGGAGGGGGATTTTGGTAAGAAAAGCTAGCCCGGGAGATGGGGCAAGAGCTGAGCTGTCGCCAGCACACACGAGGGGTGGCTCGGTCCCTAATGCCGCGAAATACAAAAGTTCACACAGGCATTTCGTTGCTACAGTCATTCACACACAAAGTCACACGCTGAGCCTTGGTCTAACGCGTGCAGGCAACAGCGAGAGCAGCGCGTGTCCGTGAGCAGAGTGACAGTGCCAAATCAAGCAGACAGGCCAGGACCCCATCGTTGTTTTTTTTTTTGGTGGAACCAGGGATTGAACGCAGGCCCTTGTGCTTGCCAGGCAAGCGCTTATTCCACTGAGCCATCTCCCTGGCCCCCCATCTTTCTTGACATGTAGCTGGCATGTGTATTTTTGTACTGGAGATTGAGGCTAGGACCTTCACACTGAGTAACATCCCAGGCCTTTTTCTTGCTATTTCTTACAGTGGGCTAAGTTGCCCTAGGCTGGCCTCGAACTTCTGAACTCCCTGCCTCAGCCTCCTCAGCACCTGGGTTACGGGCAGTACCAGGCTGGCCACGTAGCCCTGTCTTCTCTGCAGTGGTCGGCATCACCTCCCTGGAACAGTTTCCCCAGGCACCTGAAGGACTGCGTGGTGGGGAGAGAGTGGAGAACTGGCAGGCAGGCAGCGAACAGCGGTGCCCTGCCCGGGGCAAACAGGACCGTCCTCCTGTCTGTCGGCACTGGGCGGGGACTTCAGTGAGCTGCACACTCAGGAAGCTCCATCCCTGGAAGCCAACCCTGGGGTGGTGTGCGATCTAGTCCACTCCCGATTGGACCACACTGGCTGCCTGATGACGATGAGAACGCAGGTAAAAGCCTAAGGGGACGCGGAGGCTGAGACCGGGGTGTCGGTGGGGGCACGGCTATGCTTTCTGGTCAGTTTCCTCCAGTTCCAATGGCAAGCTATGGACTGAA